AAATGGCGTTTTAATCGGTCGAGACTCGTTTGGCAATTTACATAAAATATAAATAATAATAATAATATTTCATGTGATTTTCGTTTTACCGACCTACCACAAAACTAGTCATACACAATAATGTAAACATATCATCTTGGACACCTTTTAATTTCAATAATAAACCCATTTAGAACGACTTATTCGACTATTATAATATTATTATACGTTTATATTAGGACGACAACTTATTCAACGAACAAACGCCGTGAATATAATACTATAATAATCTAAACCTATTATTAATATAAATTATACATCACATAATTAATAATGATGTACTTGATCTAGGGACAACAAATAATATGCTTTTGCGAATGGCTAAAATATATTTTCATCGTGTGGGGTTAAACAAATCCAACAGCTTATACCAAGACAGATTACACTATAGCAATAATTATTATATATTATATACTAATTCTGAAAAACTCTGTAACGAGCCAAGTGTGCGTGTTAAGAATTTTTTATTTTTTTTATTTAAAGACATTGTGTGCCGGTTTTCATTTACAACGAAAAATACACCATAATAAACATGCCACCGCCGTATTATATATAGGTATGTATACACATTCACACACATATACACATATTGTTCACCTTACCCGGGTTGTAATTTTTCCTTTATACTTATTTTTTACCACGTTACATTATATATATTTATACCAGTCGCCGTTGTCGATTAACAACGACCATTATTAGTATTCATCTCGACTCGTTTTCTTTTTTTTTTTATTCTAGTCGTCCTTAAGCATATTATATATTATACTCTTATATTCCCAGTCATGACAACGAAACCGGATCAGCTCACAGTCACGAGGAGCGTGTGCGGCGGTGTCTCTCCTCGTGCCACATAGACACACCAGAACGAGTTATTATACCACGGTGAGCCCCGGTCAGTCCGTCACCCCTTTCACGGTTGTTTTTTACACCACTAAAAAAACGTCCGCCCCGCAGCAGTACGATGGCGGCAACCACGGTAGTCCAGAAAAAAAAATCTCAAGAAAATCGGTTAAAAAACGAAATGGCAGACTTGTGCCGGCGTATTCCTCCTCCATAGAACAATAGTTCCCTCTTGGCTGTGGGTATTTGCCTAGTATACTATGATGTTTACTATTTAAATCCCATTATGGTCTATGATAAAAGTTGTATAAGAAGCTAAAATAGGTACATAATTGTAATCCAAATCAAGGTAAAATGTCTACAAGTGTGCCGCCGGGAGGCTTATACAGTGGAATGTGGATTCCGCCTAATGTGAGCAGTCATAATTTGATTAGATCTCAATATTGTGTATTTGGGTTTTACCGTATCGAAAAGATTGTGTATCAAAAGTAAAAAAAGTTATCCTTAATAATTATAGGTCTATTATGGTGATATTATCGGAGTGATAAAAACGGGGACAACAAACAACACACGTGTGGCTTTCTCTCCAATCAGTTATCAGTCTTATCGTGATCTTCAACTTTGGAACGTCTCGGAAGTTCTTTGTACAAAAGAGTAACCGGAAATAGTCCCATCTGATAGCCTTCAATTTTGGGCACAATTTGTCAACTAGATTCACATAAACCAGTTAAGATATAACGCGCCATTCAATCCTTAGTAATTGAACATACACCTACCCACACGTTCAAGAAGTAATTTGATATTTATAATATAAACAAAAATGTTTTTTTTCCTACTAACTTCGGTTTATGTGCAACCACTTAATGTGGACAAATTAGTTTCGTTACAACGTTCCCGCATTAAGCCGAATCCATTGTATTATCTTATTTTAATACTAAACCAGCAGTTCCCAGAGTTTATTCAAGTATTTGAAATTGTATTGTGTACACTAAAAAATTTAGCAGACTATTTTAATTTATAAATTAGCGTTTTATAACTTGTTTTTATTTTTTAAATGCCTTTGTTTTAAATATTTGACTTAACAAATCTTCATTTGAAATACAGTTGTTGTGTACACACTACATACGGACGTCAGACGGGCCAAAACCGAGTGACACAGCACGTGGCAATCTACACTATTATGTTATAAATATTTATATATATATATATCTTATTTGTGTTGGTAAATTATTGGTGATAAATGATAATCTACCTTATTATGTGAACCGTATATTTGTCGTTATGACATCGTCGTGGCCGAAATAACGCCACGATTATCGTCTCATCATGACCAATTTACCGGGCACAAATTGACGATAAACGAATTTACCGTCTCCAGACGACTGCACATCTTATATAGAACCGGTAATTACCAAGTCGACGATATTTATGATCATCGAAAAGTACCGATCAACGTGTGATATATAAATATTGTATCCCACACACACACACACACACACACACACACATTCCCAGACCGGTCGGATAGCGATATTTCCCCTGTAATGTGTATTTTTTTTTTCATTTTATTAATATCCGATTATCTGGACAATAAAAGCACTTGGAAAATTGTTACAACAAATAGCCCACTACTTAATAGCCCGGTATCAGTAACCAGATTATAACAATATCAAAACGATTTGCTATCGTCCTATGGTGTTCACCGCGTTCAAACGCCAAAACCAACTGCCGTTGAAACATCATTGTGATGGTTATTGAAATAATAAATACCCAGCAAAAGCCATGTTTAGTGTGTTTCACCTATAATAGGCGACCTTTATGGCAAAACAAAAAATAATGCATTATATTTTTTGACAATAAATCGAATACTAAAATTATCAATATTATCACATATTACGTTTCATTACAATTTTCCTAGAAAATATACATTTTTAGTAAAAATAAAACCAGTGGAAAACATCTATTATATATTTTACATCAGAAAATAAAGGGATTTTGTTATATATGTTTTGATTCTTAGTTAAAAATATTTGTACAACATAGAATATGATGCACTATGGTCATGAATCCTGTTTGGGACTATTTTTGTATTTTTTTTATTTCTGGTATTGAACATTTATTTTTACAAACAGTTTATCTTTAAGAACTTTTAAAATACAAATTACTGTTTAACGATTAGTTTAGAGTACCCTTAAATAAAAAAAAGGAGAACAACACATTTAAAAACAATATGTTATCAATATCAATTAAATATACAGCACTAAATTATTGGATAATCGGATTTTAGCGAAATATGATATTTTAAATTCATAACTATTAATGTGATATTTAAATTTTATTTCTGTAACTTTTAAATCGTTGTTTTTACAGTAAAAAGAGTAGTACTGACGCCGATGCCATTACCATTTGTAATATAGCAGTATAAATTTGGCGTTATAGTCTAAACGCCGGCAACTTTTGTAAGTTGCCGGCTTCGACTAAATTGTCGAAAAAAAATAATTTTTGAACTCATTTTACACAATAAAGTACTTTATTTAACAAGCTTGTTCTAAAAACAAACGCAATTCTGTTGCCCAGTTTAACCGGCGCTGCACAAAATGTGATCAAACTATTCTCTTACACCTGTACCGACTGTTTAATCAGAAAATGAACGCGACGAGGTTTTCCCCATATTTTTACAACAGTACTGGCTGCCGACTAGTGGACAAAATTAATGGAATGGATTGCGAAAAATTGTACTTTAACAACACCGGGAATTTTTTATTGCATGCTTTTACAAGTCTTTTGGCCTTACCAAAGCTCACAGCCCACGTCCGTGTCAAATTTGTCTTAATTGTATTTATCGAATTTACATATTTTACATAATATAATATACAACAAAACGCTATAGTGTGAACGCGACGACAACGCGATGGACACTGAAATGTGGTCGTTTATTTTTTTATTTTATATTTTAATCGAATCAGATTTCCTTGATTTTTTATTTTACACGATTTTTTTACGGACGTGTCGTCTCTCACCGCCGCCAGCTGCCCACAGAGTACACGACCCGCCATTTACATAATAATAATAATATAGCCGGCGTATATACAATAATATAATATTGTAAACACACGGTAGACCGCGAGCACCGCCGCCATATTGTGCACACAACATAGAATAACGATAATAATAAAATATTATACGGATTATAATATTATATATAATAATTATTACCAGACTACCTACTTGCCAACCGACCGACCAACCAAACGGTCATATAACGCGAGTAAAGACAGGGTAGTTTTTTTTTTTTTTACCTACGGGCTACTACAAAAAAAAATGTACGATATAAAAGGGGTGAAATTATTCTCACACTTTAATAATGGGGTTAATATAATAGATAAATCCCTTTGCAGCAACAGCGCGTCCTTAGCGATAATACATTATAGTATTATAGTATTATAGTATTTTAGTTACAGCAACTACTTTGTACATTGTAACAGTATATTGTAATGTTGTAACAGTTGAAAAAAAAAAAGACTTGGTTGCGCTGCAATGGTGGACACGACGCAAGCACGTTTTTAAGCGATCGTAAATCATAATTTACACTCGTGCAGGGCACACCACAACCACACTGTATATGTATATGTATATATATATATTCGTTTATTGTCGTCCAATAAAAACCTATTAACTTTTGGTGTGCGCGCGTTTGGGCTATAAAAAAAAAATTTAATTACTTTTAATATGTAGAGTTCATGTACTACACATTGTGTTGTATTATTCTAAATTAAAAATGACGGTGGCTGGCTGTGTGGCCAAGGCCTGAGCGGGGCCCAAACGAGCCAAACAACACACTAAATATTTAAATACCTGAAAATTCTAAGTCAATGAATGTGTACTTAAAAATAAATACACAACTGTTGAACGCGAGATCATAAAAAACGGTGATATAACATAATATTATTGGTACTACCCATCTATAAAAAAAAAAGTTTTACTACAACCCCCACATCTAAATTATTGACCTGAAATTACCCCCCAAAATAGGACATCCCCCATCACCAAGCTATTGCAATTGGGCTTATATTTGTTATATTATGTAAAACACAGTATTAAAATGGTGTTAAGGTACTTACCGCAAACGACTCGGTCGAACGGACTCATCCAGTCTGTAACATAAAAAGAAAATCGGATTAATATTTAGAACTTATAAGGATAGAATGAATTAAAAATAAAAACAAGACCCTTCATAGGAAAATCTTTGACAGATTTCAATATTATATTTCAGTCAAATTCAAATAATATTATAATATCAAATGTACTATTAAAACAACAAGGAGCTGGTATTTGAAATAATCAATCTCGGTTTATCATTTTTTAACACTGCAATAAAAATTGGAACTATAAAATATGGTATGTATATATATATATTAAATCAGAGGTCGCACAAGTGTAATCTTATGATTTTTTAGACAATTATACACCAAACCAGTACACTTAAATTCACGAAATTATTATCGGTTTATAGTTTTTTAAACGCATAATTTATTATAAAGCGTCTGCCCGAATGGTGTATAATTTAAAGTCTGAATTGATTTTTTATATTATAAGGGTAGGGGGGGAGGAAATCTACAGTCTGCAATTTGTTGTTTTATGAACAATATAATACATTTTTTACATATTTTCAAAATGTCTTCTTAAAAATATTGGAAAAAAACCGGTTTTTCAATGGGTATGAGAATCCACCGAGTGTGTTCCCACCTCCGTGTCCAATGGAATACCGCGTAGGAGATTTTTAGCAGGCAATTTTTCAAAAAGACCAAAACCTTAAACAGCGGTTGGTCTAAGGTGGTTCGGGCGTTCAATATAACAAAGATGATTTATTTGACTGTCTACGAAGAAGCACCAAACGTATGGCGACGCCGTTTTAAGGTATAGCCGCTCAACACTTTGTAGATTGTGACCAAAATATAATATAAAAAATCTAATTTTGGCTATTATGAGTCAAGAGGAATACAAATTCCATACTTTTTTTGGTCGTTTTCGTGGTATACGGTTTTATTGTTAACATTAAGCCCAAGGAAATAGTCGAGCATTAGTTAATGAGATGAGCCAGTATTAAAAGGTCCAAGTAAATACATACAATATACATGAATAATTAACTTAATGTAGTAACTATCTACATTTAAAAAAAAAAAAATTATAATATCAAACAGTATATAATTTTAATAACATAAACAACTAGATATGAAAGGAAATAAATTATTTATGTAAATATTTAGAAGTTTATTATCAAAAATTCAAAATAAAACTATATAAATTTCAACGGATTTTATATGAAAACGTTAATGGAAAATAAAATGTAAAAAAAAAAAAATACACATTAGCGTTCGCGGCTGTAGATTAGCTAATGGACCAATAATAAATGATATTAAAAAAAAAGTAAATGGCCAATTAATGTACCCGGTTTACGGATGGATTTTTTTTATGAAAATCTTAAGTACCTCAATTTCGAAAAAAATAATAAAATCTAATGGTGTTAGACCGAGTTGTCAGTATACGAGTGTCGGCTTTAAAAATAAATACTATTCTTAACGTTGCGTGCTTATAGATATATTATAACAAAAAAGACCTCTAATCTTATTTTTAAAGAAAAATTACACGAAATCCGAACATGTATTTTTCAATTAAATAATAAAACTGGTTTTAATGACTTATTTTTTAATTAAAACGAACCAACAACCGCAGTTAGTTTTGGCGTTATTATTATTTTATTACAAGGAAAAAGCAGAACTTATTTGTCAATATATTTATAGTCATCAGAGATTAGGTACTGCTCTGTTGACGGCCAATTATTGGAAAATACCGAAAGAGATAATAACGTTATTATTATAACATCATAACGTCGAAAACGAAAATCAAGACGGTACGAGATTTTACATTGGCTATGCAATAAATCCGGTATGGCGATTGAAAATCAAATCAAATGCAAATCTTAGAAATTGTCTTGAAATGATATAACAATGTACCGACGGTCAAAGTATGCAATGGAAATCGGTAATAAGCGTAGTGGTAAATAATTCTTATTTACCGGTTTGTGTTTGATGTGTGTAATAGACGAAAGAAAGGGGAACGCGGTTTCATATAGGACAATTATATTTTATTATGTATTACGATAACACAACGTACCATTATAGTAGCGCAAAAGCATACATAAAAAAAACGATACTATGTTTTACTACACTCTACTCTCCGGGCCATAAAAAAAATAATTTGTTTTAAATAAGAAGTAATGCGTGGTTTGTTATTAAATTTGTTTTTTTTTTTTTTTTTATTCACCTTACTCGGTTATTACTACTGTTATAACATGCAATTACGTTTGCATAACAAAATAATTGGTGTAAAACTGGTTATTATCATTAACAGCATTTTTGTGTTCGGTCGTGTTCTCTTTTCTATAATAAATAGCATAGTGACGGCGGCGGCGCTTATTGTTGCTTTGAGAATGACAGTCCGTTGGGCGACACACGTTTAAATTTGTCAGGCTTATAAATACATCGAATGAACACATATTTTAATGTTTTGCTATTATTATACAAAGACAAATAGCGATAATAAACACCGGACCAATTGATACATACATTTTGTTTACATTGTATAATAATAGGTAAAAGTGCTAATCGTTAAACGCGGCAGCGATAATGACGGGTCGGTTAATTATACATATATATATATATATATATATATATATATATATATATACACACATATAATATTGTATATTAGCCGATAAGTATCCACGGGGTAATTTACCGTAACGGTTGGCAAGTATCTTTTTTTTTTTTTTTATTATATTATATTTATACTTGTACACACGAAACGTAAAATTGACAGAGGGCGTAATTGAATTGTAAGTCGTTCACCGTCGCGTACAAATGATTAATTATCGTTAATCATTGTAATATGATGGCTATTATTGCTATTATTTTATTACAATAAATTGTATTTAATCGCGCATATTATTTGTATATAATATGCACGTTTAACGCTGCAACGATTTTCGTTTAGGGTTTTAATTTAACTTTTAAGATTAACTTGGTCTCAACAACTTGAAAACCAAGTACTTTGGCCAAAGTTAACGATTATTTACTTACAAGTTAAAAGCAATGGTTTTTTTTTTTTTAATACAGAAAGTTGTCAAGCCAGCTTAATATACATGAAAAAGCTCATATCCTAACCACGGGAACAGTTATAACAGGGATAAATAATACAGTGTTAGGCTCACCTGTGATGGACATCCAAGGGTATCTAGGTATGTCGGGCATGGGCTGTGGTCCTGGGCCGCCGGGCTGTCCGCCGCAAGCGGAGTTGAGCGGGTCGGCGGACGCAGCGGCCGCCTGATGATAAAACTGGGCGGCGGCGGCCATGGAAGACACGGCGCCGGCCGCGGAACCCGTGTGCCCACCGCCGTTCTGGTTGTGGTGGTTCAGGTGCAGTGCGTAGCTGTTGACCATGGTGTCCGCGGCGGACACGCCACCGGAGACGCCGGTACCGCCGCCGTACCGGCAGGACGACTTGTCGGCGGCGTCCACGACGGCCGCGGCCAGAGCGGCCGAGCCGGGCGACGAGAACGCCATGGAACCGGCAGCCGCGGCCGCGCCGAACTGTTGTTGGTGATGGGGGTGCATGTAAGTGGGGTACATGCTTCTGGCCGCGGGGGAGACCAGAGACGACGTGGACGGCGGCGAGCCACCGGCGCTGCTCGACGACGAGTTGTTGGGCGTCAAGCTGTAGTTGACCGCAGACGCGTCCAGCTGTGTACCGCTGGACGTGATCACCGGGTTCAGCAACTGATGGTGGTACTGTTGATGGTATTTGGGCAACATGCTGTCTATGATAAACTTGGAGCTCATGTTGTACGACAACGATAGGTAGATCAGTCAGGTCTGTTGGCAAATCTTGTTGAACGTTAGACGAAAAAAATATTGCTCTCTTCGGGTCCCGTTCAACGCCACATTTTTGTCGAGCAGTTTGACGATTCGCGCGAGGGTTCAAAGTTCGGGGTTCGGGTTGGCGAGCAGCGACAGCCGCTCTGGCGCGCGCGTAACGAATATACACGATAGATTAAAATAAATATATATAAATATAATAACAACGCAATAACAACGAAGAGGTCGTATATAATAAAAATAAAAAAATTACACGCGGCGTTTCCGAAAGAACCAAAACGAAATACAGTCAAATCGGGATAACGACGGACACACGGATACCGGCGGGCAATGCACGCGCACACACGCGGCGCGTTGTAAAAGTATTAAAAACCGTGCGGCCGACAGAGATAGTAAAAACGAGGCGGCCTTTGTTAGTGGGTAATTTCCCGAATGTTGAGCACTTGTTTGTGAGATCGTTTATGACCCGGGCGGCGCGCGGAGGGTATTGGCGGGACCCGTACGACGGTCGTCGTCTCGTGGCCGCCCGGTCGCCGCCGCCGTTACCTCTACCTATGCGCGCCACGCGTTCTTACGGTGCGCAACAGGACAGGGGAGGCCGGCGGGCCGGTGTACGGCGAAGAAATCGTGCTGCGAACGCGTCCCCCGACCCCCCGGCACGACCAGTCGACGGGTCGACCAATCGACAGCCGCGTTACCGGCACCAGCGCTCCTCAGTGGCGGCGCTCGGCGCATGCATACTGTCGAGCCTGCCCGTCTGCCGCCGCACGTTTCCACTTCCCAACTTTCTTAGGCGCCGGCGGCACTTTTTTTTATCAAACGTTTTTCCCTAGATATGTATTTTTTTTTTTTAAATCTACCATAATTACCTATTATTAGTATCGTTTGAGTCGCAACGTTGTCAATTGTATAAATAATAATAATTTTCCCATCTCTGTTCTTAAAGGTCAATATAGACTCAATATAGACATATTAACTAAAATAGTTGGTAAAATGGAGCGTTGAATTTTCATTTCCCGCTTTAAAGACTACAAGAAAATCCAAACGGCAGCATAAAATATGGAATTTCACGAGAGCGGAAGAACATTAATAAAAAATCAATTATTATTATTTTTCTATTAATAATTAATAATATAATCACTATTCACTATAAATAAAAAGCCAATTGATTGAAGAACCACATTAAAAACTCAATAATTAATTGTATCAAGGCTACAATGTGATTTTATAACTAAGAAAAATATTTTGTAAATTAAAATTTTTCAATTTTATCTACTTTATTGATTTTGTAATATAGTTTTTACCTAAATGCAACTACACGTTTATTAGTATATAGTATACCTATACTTCATTCTTTGTTACTTGGACTTTTAATAGTGTAGCTATATAATTGTGAGCAACATAGTTTTACGATTTTTTAGTTTTTACCAATTTTATTTTAAGAAAAAAAGTGTTTATGTGCCAAAATGTAGTGTGCTTTGCTTGTATTTTTTTTACAGAGAATTAAGTTAAAAAATTACCTTTCAATGTACCATCCAGATTTAAAAATAATAGACCCGAAATAAAAATGGACGTTGGTTAGACGAGTCAAAACAAGAAAATAAGACGACGCCGAGAGTGAACAAAAGGAGACAACATACAAGTATTACCAATTTGTTATTATTATAACACCTTTGGCAAACCGACCGGAGGTGATGTTAATTTGGTATTTGATTTTTGTTTTCCAAGAAACCATCCGCTGGGTGTTATCTGCCGGATCTTATCCACGTGCATACGTTTCCCCGTATAGGCCGTAAGTGTTATTATATAGGAGAAATGGTATAACTGATTATTATGCATATACACCTAAACGCCGCTATAAATAATAAGATATGAAATATTCTTATTTTTTTCCCTTCGTATTCAACCCGTTCACGAGTCCATTTAATGGACATCCGGCAAGTTTAACCGATAACAATATTATTATTATTATTAATATCGTTTTGAATTTGTTTATTTACGGCCTATTACGTGGTCAGTTCATATATAATAACATATTTAAATAATTTTATTTAACACTCGGATAACTCGCCACTATTTTGTACAACAATATTAATATTACATTTGAGAGAAATCTTAATCATAATAATTAAAAGGCTTCTACGTACATCGTCATGCACGGCACAGGTTTTCACGGTCGCTCTATACCTGTATGTTATATTACTCGCGATAGTAATTATTGTATATAATAACACTTACCACTATTATTGTACTTATCTGGTCGAAGTACACATCATAAACAAGCGTTTTGCATAATCAGTCTCATTACAGCGGACACCGTTCGGTATGCACACTAATATAATATTATAAAAACAAAAAAATACGTAAGTGGGTAATTAAAAACATGTATGAATGTTTTTTTTTATTTATTCCCCATTAGGTCGAACACGTTTAAAATTATAATTACCGTGCGAAATTTAATTACACACACAACCCGGTTTGATTGAATGATGTCAACGCTTGCACACAATGTCTTATCTGTCTCTTTCCAACCAAGTGCAAACTTGGTACAAGCAACCTAGGGCAGGGGTTTACCAAACCTCAGTCACCGTGACCAATACACAAACTATTATAAAAAGACGAACATGTTGAGAAATTAAAAAAAAAAAATCACATCTAAAAATGAATTGATTTTTTGAAAATGCTACGAATGTTATCATATGTTCTTGCCGTTTAAGTATGGATGACAATGGAATACATATTTTTGTTGAGCAGTTGGATTTAGAAAACCCACGTTTGAGTGAAAAATAGACATTTATTCTGGTACACGTGACTTGTGCATGCGGGTATAAATCACAGTGTGTACTTCATATTACAAAAATACATTGCTCACTAACAAGTAACCCGGTGATAATATAATAGTATATACAATTTACCACATACTTATTAGTGTTAGTTTTGAGGAAAACACACTTCGGTAAAACAATTTTATTATTTTATGTTACACCGAACGAGTAATAAATGTTTCAAAATATTGTATCTATACTTATCACATGTAACAATATCCCACGTGGGATTAATTCTTTTGTTTTATAATACATTTCATTGAACAAAAAAATACATTGTCAAGTGTTTTGGCAGAAAATCAAACGTCGTACGACCAATGTTTCAATAATGTTGTTTGTAACTTTTTACTACCTAACTAATATGTTATTTTGAACACAACTTGCGAAAAAAAACTATATCCAAGTTAAAATTAATTTTTCCTCAGAACCAAACTACATAATTTTTTAGAATTTTTCTAAATAAATCGAAAACTGTTGATAGATTTTATGGTACAAGTCAAATTTTTTTTCCTATAATCTTCAGCTGTGAAAAAGTCGGCATACGTCCGTGTTGTGTATACAAAAAGTCCATATAATGTATTTTAAGTAAACCGTATACGTTTTTCCATCGACCGTTTATAAAAACGTCATATTAAAATATATCTCAAGCAGCAGTTGGTTAACAGGTTTTATCAGGTCTATTGTTGATATACTTACCGCAATATGATAATTATATTATAATTCAAGTCATCTGGGAAATTCCCGTTTCCAGGCTCGCCATTTCGTTCCCAAAGCAGAATTATTTGATACACAGCAATTATAAAAAAAAAAATAATAAAAGATATGACTTATAAATGTAATCATTGCAGTTTGATTGCCAAATTATTTTGAGTGTGTTTTGAAAATAGTTTTTGTTATTGGTTAAAACAAATTAGTATTTTGTAACAGTTAGTTACCGATATTTTTTTACTATATTTTGACAGAAAAACAAACATTGTGTCAATATTATAATTATAATATTTTCTAACAAACTCAAAAGAAACGTTTGGGGGAAATATTAATATTTCTAAATAAATTGCGGCGGGACTGTCCGGCGGTGCAGGTCGCGCCGTCCACATTAGGCAACCTAACGTGCACTGGTACCGGATTACACTGCATAATGTAAAATTTTATCACAAAAAAAAAAATATATATATAATAAATCGATCGTTATATTTTTTAATATCAGACATGTGGAAGCTATACGTGTTCGGCCTAAGCAAACAAACCATTGCGATAATATACACTTTACGCAGGCACTCCTGTACATGTGCATGCTTGTTATATATATATATATATATGTCAAAAATGTATATAAATTGCTATTGTACCGGTGTATATATGGAAGCGTGTCACGTCATAAACGCTTTTATGAAGTCTATAACTAAACGTTTTCGGCTCATAAAGACACACACACACATATTATTATGTGCATTAAGTCACACCTTGGTACGATTATTCTTAAAATAACTACCAGTCGAGTATAATGTGATTTGTAAAATATACAATTGTTATGTGTTTTTTTAATATTTTTTTTTAAATTGTTACTCAGATTTTGTTTTGTTTTTAAACCGCCAGCGTTATCGAAACGGTTATATCAATAATTATTGTTTTATCCTTCCCGTTTTTTTTTTTTAAATCACATTAACGCGGCGCTTGCCAGTCGTTTCTTATCCGACCATAATAACATTATTATTGTTATTACCGTAGCGCGCATACATTTATACTATAATGTGTACATTATAATAATAAAAAAAAAATGAAATATATAGGTCGAAAAACTCTATACAGAGCGACGGTCATGATTTTTACCAGGTGGCAGACGAAACAAACCGTAAAACTTGAGAATAAAACAAAAACATAAACGCACAAAACATAAAAAAAATTAAATCACGAGTAAACACCAGAGGCCAAACGTAAAATTTATAGATCTTGTATATAAGAAAAAAAAAACAATAATATTTCCACTCCTTAGAAAACCATACAAAAGAAACAACACTCAAAACACAATTTACTATTACTTGGGTCTCGTATAATATGGCCGAGCTCTTACTACAAATACTAGTACTAGGACTTTTTTGTAGTTTGGCTTACCAATAACTATTGCAAGTATACAGCATAGCGCATACTTATAAATTTTAATATTCTTTAACGATACTTTAACGAATATTTTGATCATATTAATCTGATAAAAAATTCATGGTGTACAGTATCACTAAGTATCAGGCATAGTATTAAATTCCGTATTTCAAGGTAGGTTCCAGTTTTGAGTTTAGCTCATTCGATCTTGTTTACAATAATATTTTGTTTTGCATGCTATTTAATCTGTATTCAAGGAAAAAGATAAATAAAAAGAGACGCTATGAAGATGCCAACTAAAGCGATACTGTAGACCAACCACTATAAGTCCAACTACAAAATAAGTCTTCTGTCGCTGGGTTCTAATTGTTATGCTACAATTATTACAAAGAGCCGTCAAACCAGCTCAAAATACTCACGAGTACTTGGGTTAAGTATTTAATACTCGTGGTTATTAAAGCGGTTTTCCAATAAAACACAAAAATAAAAATATTGTTAAAAACTTAAAAAATCCTACAATCAATTACACATTGTTTATATATTCCAGACAGCAATTTAGAAACGAGTATTTGTGGAAAATATTATAATAAGTAATTTGTACGTAAGCGTTTGGAAATAATAAATACATTTAAAATGTATAATAAGTACTTATGACATAAAGTATTTGATTTCCTGTGAAAATTCCATTTTGACAATACTCGTTATGTATAGGTACAGTATTTAAATATTTCATAAATATTTGATTGGTGTGTAGAATACTAAATTTGATAGGATGCTTATTTATAATACTCACAAGTCTCAAGTTGACTCGTTTAGGCTTAACTGGTAGACGACTCTTGTTTCCTAATAAAATAACATCAATATGTATTTAGTGTAATTTCGAAAAAAAATCGCTATACATTTTGTCTTACATAAATATTACACAAAAAACAGAGTTAAAATGTAAAAATATTCGATTATGGACCTATTTGATCACGTTTGAAACTATAGAGGGAGGTTTTTTTTGTTATTATCAAGTTTATTGTATAAATAATATATATATATATATATATTAATACATTAATTGATCGGGTAAGTGTGTCATTTTATTACCTTGTACAAGTCTATACACAAACCTAGTGCCTCGTAAATTATATTATATTAAAGCTTTAAACGGTATACACAGATATATTGTTATGTTTAATAAACTCGGGGAGGGGGAGGGGTAGGATTTTGTTTGCAGCACATGTAACATTAGCTGTACCATAATATAGTTACACAAGTATACAGCGGTATACAAGTATACAAGTATTTAGAGGTGTATAGGAACAAACGGGTGTGTGTGTAAAATGTGTGCTTGAAAGTAATTTTGAGGGAAAACAAAAAGCACCCAGAGATTCCGGCGTTAAATTAACGGCCGACCGCCGTGTGTGTGTGTGCCATATTACAGTTTTAGGGAATTGGACTCGCCGTACAATATATTATGGACTTAGGGGTCGTGGAGACGGGAGAGGAAAGGAGAGGCAGAATCACTGAAATAGGGGAGGGGAGGGTACACGAGCGTAGCATCAGCTGTGACGCCGTTTACAAAGTTAAAGCCCAACTCGTGTATAATTATGTTTATGGCTATGCCGGCCGGAAGTAAATCCAACTCGGCAGTAGTACAAAACGCACTTACCTGGAAGTAACGATCTGGCCGTTGGCGGTTCGGGACTGTGTTTACCTGAAACAGAAAATAATTTTTTTTTCTTAAAAAAACGTTCAAACGGTTTAGAAATAGTAATTTTCATTTTAATCGTTACCAATACTATAATATGGATGCTTTATTGAAACTTTAATGATACATTAAAAGCTAGGTTCAGCCTTTGAGTACAAGCTAACGAAATTCCATTGAGCTTTGATTAAAATATTGTTGTAAATAGGTTAGCCGAGCTGGCGAAAACCAAGTTTGGGTTTTAGTTGTTTTTTATTAAATACCAACCATTTTCTATTGGGCTAAAATATAATCATTAAATATTTTATTATAAAAACATTGTTAGTTGCTAAACATTGCTTAGACAAATGAAATAGATAAAAATGTCGAGACTCGAGACCGAAATCGGTTTTAAGTTCGTTTAGGTGTGTGTTTAGCTCATAATAATATATAAAACGGATAATGGCACAACATAAACGAATACATTAAATAGTAGAATAAACTAAAATACTGTTAAAAAATGTGTGTGTGCGGTTTTAAAACGCTATAAATCAACCTCTTAATGATGTTATTACTTAATATTGTTATTGTGAGAATTGCCGTGGGCGAAATTATTGATTGAAGAAGTGTCCCCGAATATCTTTGCCGTATTACTGCAGTTGTCTTTAGATAAGGGGATTAACACACGAATAGCCGTTATTAATATTTATTTGTATTCTATTTTGGGCCGTTTAATTGGAAAACAGTTGTTAGGTATATGAGTTTTTTTTACGGTTTGGTGGGTAATAAAAATATTTATTAGCCCATTTCGTCGAGACAACCTCTACATACACATAATATATATATATATGACTTTGTTAGGCCATCACTATAAATCTCCCGACAACCATACACACGTCAGACGTTTATGTAAAGGGAATAAGTATGGTTAAGTACTGGGAAATAATCATTCGCACTTAATATTATAATTAAAATGATAAAATCATTTTTTTTACCGAAAAACGCCAACACAATAAATTGCGCAGTGTGACTTATGACTCACATAGCATTTAAAATATATAAAAAATAATTAAATTATATTTTGTTGTCGGGTATATAATAAATTAGTATAAAAATCGCAATCAGTGTAGTCATATATTGTGCTATAATGTACTGTTTGATAATAATTTATATTTAATAAACCTATTTTAAATTGTAATTTTCAGTGTAGACATCGTTTCAGAATAATACTATTAATTTGATTCCTTGATTTGGGAAACACTGTTGTTGGGAGGAAAATTCTGAGTTATTACAAATTAGCATTAACTTTCCCGTATTATCATTTATAGTATCTGGTTTGTACAAATGTAATACTTATCGTAACTCCCACCAAACGTCAACTAAACAATTTCAATAGTATATTGTTTAATTGCGTTACAAGAAAACCGTATTTGATTTCGGTAGATATTGTCCGGTAGCAAATTATATTTATACATAGTTATTAAATACCAGCGGTAGCGTTCAAATCGGTTTGAGAAAACTGTTTCCTACTCGTTTAAAGTACATTATATACATTTTAGTATCTGTGGAGGAAAAATAAATATATATTTTATGTTGCTCGTGCGAATCCTATAGCAGAGGCTATAATAAAATGTTTTTTTTTTTAAATTTTGTTTTACAAAGATATATTATGACGGCATAACACGACGGCCGTGATTCCTTGGCAAATCGGCCATTGTTCTTAAATGATCGTGAACACCTCTGACGGGTTGCCGCGAAAAGCCAATACGGTTGCTGTCATAAGCGGAGAATCTATAATATCTTAATAAGTAGCCAGAGTGTTTTCACGGTGATGCCAAGTGAACGGTACAATAATGACGGTGAGAAAAAGAAGCGCACATGACAGTCAGTACCTATAAACTAGTACCAAAGATGTGGTGGTCAATCTGCAAAGGGTCTCTTAGGAATATTTAATATAGAGAATTTTTTCAAATAAATAGATAATTTTACGAAAAAAGTTGGTTTCATATCAGATGGGCCTCATGGGTAAGTGCGTTCGCAGAAGTATATTACTTCCCTTTACTCTATTTCTCCTGGCCCAAAATTTATCATATAAACTACCTAAATAAAAATAAAAAATATAATAGTATTTTCTAAGCTTTTTGTTCAGGTTTGGTTAAGAATATTGTAAGCATTTGTAGATACTATTTGATTGAGCATTAAAAATAAATTAAGTATAATTTTTAAATTTATAATATTAAAGGAATTTTAGTGAAATATTAATATACTATGTTATATTACTTAAATACTCTTTGATGTCTGGAATCCCTTTCTATTTCTATTTCTCAATCTACTATATTTTTACTCAACTTATTTTTTTTTTTTGGCGTGAGGAAAGTAATATTAATAGTTATTATACTTGACTTGTAAATATAAATTCCACACCTCAAAAATAAATGTTAATTATTTTCCAACTATCCTCGACGAAACATGAAAAAAATATCTAAAAGCCCTTCTGTGTGGCAAACAACTTTCAATTATTTAAGTTATAACTACTCATATCTTATTATTCCGTAGGATATTTTACAAGGAACGATGAGACGCCTGGGAAATGGGAGGAAATAGCTGACGGCCAATAATATTGATCTGCAAGGCAAGCAAGCAAGGTCGAACGAGGGGTAAACGTTTTCTGCACTGCCATGCGCTTGTACCATTGTATATATTACATTATACCTGTATACATACAAATGCGAGCTTTTTCCCTTTTTGAGGTTTGCAATCATTTTCTCAGACCAGTCTACACTTACTACGCGAACCCCAATAGTGAATACACGCCAACTGTATACGAATCTTTAACCAAAAAACTCCATTTATAGTATAAGTTATAATGTTTTTCAGTTCCTGATAATACTTAGCCAAATTCATTGTCATAACGGTTTGTTCAAGCTTAGAAGGATTGAAACATATTGTAAATCTGGAGAAACTAAAGGGTTTTTTTCATTGACTTTTCCAACGAAAATAATCTAAAACTGAGCTGTATAAAAATATACTTTGGAAACTTAAAGCGTTATTTCCGTGCCGGGTTACTTAAAACCGTATAGAGTGTTATTTGCCGTACTTAAACGAACCGGTATAATATGTGTTCCGGTGTATTACGGCCCGGGTTACTACTTGCAGGGATTTTATTTTTTTGGGGAATTATTTTCCAGATCGTTACCGGATATATATTCTTATAGTCCCCATTGCATCTTAGGCCGCATGTACAGAAATAGGTAGATTATTTTTTACGAGTAGTACTACTATAATAGGACTGAGTTTTCGTTGGTCCGGAAAATAATAGAAAGCGCTATCAATAAGTGTACCTCTATTAATGTTCTCGAAGAAATTGTATTTTAAAACCGATTAAATCTTTTACTACACAACACACGATTTTTTATAGATGTTTTTTTCAATTTATTATGCTCTCATACATTTTATCTGTTCATATAAAGTGAACAAGGCCAAAAAACTAACTTTATCTATAAAATTAAAGTTTTGTGCATAGTACAACGTTTGTACGTACACGTTGTTTTAAGATAAGTGTGATGCTATTTATAATTATTAAAAAAAAAAAATTGCTATTTGTCGTAACTTTTTCGATATCAAAGTAATTTTATTAATTATTTTATTTATTTATATAGTCGAAGATTGTAGAAAACATAATATTGTATAATCGGTGTACAGAGATTGTCTGCAGAGCCTCTGTACGGACAACATCTTGAATCTTGTGTACAAGCTAATATGATCATCAGCCACTTTCAAAAATTATAACATAATACTTGTGCACATTGTGCTCGGATGTACACGAGGTGTTATTTTATGTTCAATTTCTTTATCTGGTTTTTGAGTTATTTAGGCGAGAGCTATGCTTAAGCTTGACTCAAAATATAATTCGATTTTCAAGTGTGTTGTTTTGTGTTTTCTTGAGACGCAGCACGTTTACACGAGCAGTGACAATGAACCTTTTACGTTTCGGGCATTAATCAAGCATATAATTGGTTTTGATGTTATTATATTATGGTTGTTTATGTTATATGTTATTTTACATTTTTCGTTTACATGCCTATCGTCGAGAAGTCATCGAACCGGGATGTTTATAGATGTATATGCATAGTGATAATAACCTTATTTAATGTTGAATCACAGACACAACGTCATCGGTTCGCGATTGGATCAGAAACCATAAAAATAAGGAGACCCGCGACCTAGAATAGAACTCTCGGATGTTTATACAAGACCGCATTGATATTCACCCTTCCTATGGAGCAAAGCCACTTGACATAGTATCGCAGTGTGTGTTGCTGCAACATACGTTTGACTCGGTCGCCTATGCCGCACACACCAAAAATAGTATACGGGCCCACTTGTCGACGTTTTCCAAAATTGAGTTGTTGCTTTTTTTTTATTTTGAATCTCGATTGATTTTTAAAACAGTCTGACAGTGGTAGGTTTAAACAATAACAATGTTTTTTTTTGCACGTTTGCATGTCCTAATCCTAGAGACTGCACAATTAACCGTGCTCGACGAGAGACCGTTATCAATAATATTGTCCTTATCAACTGTTCAGGCGTTTTTATCGGAAAAACCCACATGCGATAATATTATATTATTCCGAGTAATACACCTACAGCTCGCTCAAGTTTTTAATAATGCAAACTCCGGACGAGATGACTAAACGGCGGGAGGAGGGTGGAACCGGGGGGGGGGGGTCGATAGCTGGTGGTTGAGTTTTGCCCGAACCCCTAAGCAAATGCGTTTCCCCCCGCCCCGCCGGTCCTTTTGGGACAGTTCATTATCGGTTTGTGCAGGCGACTGACCTTTTTATATGTATTTATTATTATGTGTGTGGGTACGCCGCGGTAATAATAATAATCATAAACGGAAATCGAGCTTTACCCCCATCGGCACGGCCGCCATAGCACTCGCAGAGGGGTAGTTGGACTAGAATTTGTCCTGACAACGGTCAACCGAGGGGCTGTAAAACCCTTAGCGCGCAGGGTATACGATATAG